AAGTGGGACAGACTGGGAGAGACTGAGATGGACTGGGAGCAACTGGGAGGGCACTGGGAGAGACTGGGAGAGGGTTAAAGGAGCATTTCTGGGGTGTCGGGACAGTGCTGGGGTCACTGGTGGTGCTGCTCAAGAGCCTGGGTGAGCACTGGGAGCAACTGGGATGGACTGGGAGCAACTGGGATGGACTGGGAGGGACTGGGAGCATCTCAAGGGACATTTTGGGGACGGCTGGTGGCCCTCGGGTGACATTTTTGGGACCATCTGGGAGCACCTCGGGGCTGTTGAGGGGGACCTTGGTGCCAACCTCGGGGTGTCCCCGGGCTCGGGAGGGGTTGGGGACACCTTGGGGACATCTTGGGGACACCTGGGTGACGTCAGGGGTGTCCCCAGGGATCAATGACCTGATCCACTTCGACTTCCTGGACCCTCCCCCCCACGAGACGCTGGTGCTGGCACTGGAGCAGCTCTACGCACTGGGAGCACTGAACCACCTGGGGGAGCTCACCACGGTACTGGGACGGACTGGGACGGACTGGGAGGGACTGGGGGTGGGTTGTGGGGCCTGTGGGTGGGGTTTGGATGGCCTGGGAGGGACTGGGGATGGGGTGTGAACCAGCTGGGAGGGACTGGGATGGACTGGGAGGGGCTGGGGATGGGGTATGAACTACCTGGGAGGGACTGGGACAGACTGGGATCAAACTGGGAAGGACTGGGACAGACTGGGAGGGATTTGGATCAAACTGGGAGGGGTTAGGAATGAGGTATGAACCACCTGAGAAGGCTCACCACGGTACTGGGATGGACTGGGAGGGACTGGGATCAAACTGGGAGGGACTGGGGATGTCCCTGGTGTCACCGGTGTCACTGGGGATGTCACTGGGGATGTCACTGGTGTCACTGGGGGTGTCTCTGGTGTCACTGGGGATGTCACTGGTGTTACTGGTGTCACTGGGGATGTCACTGGGGATGTCACTGGTGTCACTGGGGGTGTCTCTGGTGTCACTGGGGATGTCACTGGTGTTACTGGTGTCACTGGTGATGTCACTGGTGATGTCACTGGTGATGTCACTGGTGTCACTGGTGTCCCTGTCCCAGCTGGGCCGGCGCATGGCGGAGCTGCCGGTGGAGCCCATGTTGGCCAAGATGATCCTGGCGAGC